GTGGGAATCCGAATTTTCTCGAACCTTAAATCAGTTGCACTCGAAGAGGTATGAATTTGTTCCAAAAGCTGATTCTGTCCCTCAAATAGACGTTCCACTGTACTTGAGATCAAAAGGTTAGACTGGTCTTGGCCGTAATCTTGACCTCCCATTTCTTTTATGGCTTTACTAAAAATAGCGTCGGCACTGTAGAACTTCTCTTCGTATTCCGGTATATCCAAACCAGGGTCCTCGTACCCCTCCTCCAGGTTGAATTCCACTAAGTCATCGGAGAGCTCCATGAAGTGGTTGAAAGTGGCAACCAAACGCTCCAGTTTATGTTGCAATGTCTGCACACAATCACATCTCTGTGCAAAGTCCGTGGCGCTGTTCATGGTGCGGGTTAGTTGCCCCTTACAGGCACCACGTTGTTGAATTGTCCGATGCATTATCGAATTCATGGCGAAAATTTGTCTCTTTTTATGCGCGAAGAAAACTCACAAATAAACGCGGGTATCCGGCTACTCGAACGGACCAAAATTTGTATGGCGATGAATGAGTGGACTGTATTATTTATTTTCTTAGTTTTGTAAGTTTTATTGATGATTTAGCGGGTTTACAAAATTATAAGCGGGTTGCGGGCGGTTAGCGGTTGCGTAACTGTACAAAGCTTGATAAGCGATTTTGCGTGCGGTTGCGGTCAAATATACAGAAGCAATAGAACTAGCCGCGAACAGCGTGCAGAAAAAAACAAAAATGCAAAGATCACGTGATGCGCTAATACATAGACAAAAGCTGCATTTTTGGCTATGCGTGTGAGCTTTTAAGCTTTCATAAAGTAAACAATACAGTGATGCGCAATTAACTAGGTGCAATTATATGAAATTAAGAACAAGTAAAGAAGTAATGAAAATGACCTATCTATTTCTCAACAGTGGCCAAAAGGCATCTTTAGAGCCAACTCGTGCCAGGCACATTTTCTTGAGAGGGGTTAGGTTGAACATCATGATTAAATCCGCATGAATATGTTGCCCTCTTCAGCCGCAACAGTAATCCCTCGATATCAGCGCCAATCACTTTCCATCGGTAAAGGCGCATCGTGCGTATATTTTGTGGAAGGTCGCGAGTTTCCCAATTTCGGCGAGTTCCGGCCCCATAGGACATGGTTGTTCTTTTTGCTACACTGAGAGAAAACTTCTACATAATTAATTTATTTAAATTTACATTGTTAAGAATTTATCTTAAATTAAAACGGAATTTAACTATGAAGAGAATATTTAAAATTAAGAAGCATAAATTAGGAAATGCAGATGAATTAAATTTTGAGCGGTTTTAAGTTTTTAAAATTCAAAAAAATGTTTAGCGTATGATAAGCAGGTGGACGAGATTTGTTAACTCATGGCTGGCCTCAGTCTGCATTCTTTTACAGCCATCGCTCGGGAGATCGATCTTTCGTCGTTGGAAAAATTTATCATGTGAGTTGCAACAACAAAATGATGCGTATAATGGTTATTATTTTTGCTGAGTACTTTAATAAAAATCGTCGCGCCACGCCTATAACACCCGTAAGAAAATAAGTAAAAGAAAAGTAGAAGTAAAACAAAAAAATGAATTTATTTATACCACCTTAAAGCCGAACAAACAAAACACAGTTTGATTAAAAACAGAACAATTGAATTGAATTTTCATTTAGGTAAATATAATTAAAAGCAAAACGATGAGCACTAAAAGTTATGAAAATATTGCACAAGAATTAAAAATTTTCTTTAGCTTATAAAAAATGAATTTAAACCTTTGTTAAAATTTAGACAAGAGACCAGCAATGAAGTTTATCTCGAAACCACGTTTTTCGAACTGGCGGCCATGATATCTCCAGTTCAACTGAACCGATTTTCATGAAACAAAGTGGAATCGACGCAGAATTGTCACCATTTTCGGCTGACGGAACAGATTTTTTTATATTTTTTTCTATTTTTTTTTACACTAAACTACAAAAAAAACGCCCGAAATTGAATTTTTTTTTTGAATGGCCGCCATTTTGTTTTAAAAATTTTTTTAAAAAAATCTGTTCCGTCAGCCGAAAATGACATCTATTCTGATTATAACCCCGTTTTAATTTTTCATTTCGGACGCTCTGGAGACCCTGAATCGTGGCCGCCAGGACGACACCTTTTTTTCGACCACCAAGTTTGAAGTCTCATTACTCTTTGAACAACCCTCGTATCGAGGCAAGAACAACTTTTTAGTTACTTTGAACATTTTTGAATACAATAAATAAAAAAAGTTTTCAATTATTCTTTGCGTTTTCAAGTAAGAATTTTTTTAAAAAGGGTCCAAAAAACGGCTTTTGAATGAGAAGACCCCCTTAAAAATTTAAAATTTATTAAAAATTTAATTCTATCTTATAACATTAATTATATCTTACAATGCCTTAACTATTATATTCTACTTTATTCTCTAAACATTATATTTGTTATTACATACATGCAAAATTTTCTCTTCTTACTTGTTAGACTTGAAATATTTTATTAAAATGTAAATATATGAAAGAAATCATGGACTAATCCTTTCACTTGAACTCGGCGGATGGTTCTGCAGTCGTAAGGGTATCAAAAGGGATCACTCGAGCTTCGCTCGAAGATAGTGATCGCAGGTTGGGCGGGTTTAAAATGACGTAACAACACCTACGTCTCTTCACCGAATTTCCCTCCTCTTTTCTTTTTCTGACTTTTCCCACTGTCTCTTCTGCAATTTCTTTTACTTTTCTCTACCAAATTTCCGATATCTTTTCGTATGCCGTCGCAAGCACGCTTAATTTCTTGATTAATGATTATAAACCAAGGCAGATCTGAACGAGCAAGACCTCCACCCCCAAAGTCGACGAGCTAGAGCCGGATCCTATAGCGTGCCCCCGCGAATTCAGATCTCGATCGAAACTGTGCTTTAGAACGTTGCACGTTACAATCTCCAAAAAGATCTGATATCCTCTATTAGAATCCACTGGGCTACAGAGTCGTTTCCGAGGATAAAATCACCAGGACTAGATGGAATATTCCCAGCCATGCTGCAGGTGACCAAAGAAGTGATCACCCCATGACTCTACAGAATATAAAAAGCTTGTTAAAGCAAGGGCTATATACCTACCCAATGGAGGACCTTTCGGATTGCCTTCCTGTCCACAGCAGGAAAGTGCAGCCATGCGAGCCCCGAGGATTACAGACCGATAAGGGTCACCTCATTTCTACTTCAAACGCTGGAAATTCTGGTAGACCTATATATCAGGAACGATGTAGGGAGACTGCTGTCGACCAACCAGCATGCCTACACGAAAGGGAAATCAGTGGATCAGTGGCTCATAAACTCCCGATCGCCCCTGTGTCTGGACTACAATGTCCTGCTCTACAACTCCACACTAAAGCCAATATGGACGTATGGCTCCCAGCTCTGGGGGAACGCGTGCAGTACCAATCTAGACATCAAACAGCGCGCCCAATCAAAAATCCTGAGAACTATCACTGGGGCACCATGGTATATTCGCAACGAACACATCCACAGGGATCTCGGCATTCCTGCAGTTAAGAACGAAATAGAAAAACAAAAAGCGTCCTACAAGGAAAAACTCTCCACCCATCCAAATCCTTTAGCAAGGGACTTGATACGAGTTTCCAGAAGAAGCCGCCTACTACGTAACGACCATCCAACCCAGCCATAATTATTCAGGGCCATTTACTCTGTACCAGTCTCATGACTGCTAGTTAGGTAGTATTGTAAGATTTGATACACTTATTGTTAGTCTCATAAATCAGAAGATTCAATAAATAAAAGCAAAGCCTAAAAAGAAAAAAAAAAAAAGTGGAGACGGCACTACATTAGTTGGTAGCCACCATTGATAGAGCCCTATAGAATAAGAAATATGCATTCGGAGTGTTCGTGGACATATCCGGGGCATTCAACAACGTTAATAATAAATTGTCTAGAAGCGACCAACACACCCCCCACTATCAACTTGTGATAAGAAATCTTGTGTACAATCAGATTGGGGCACAACTTCCATATTGAGAGGAGCTCACAGAAGCACGCCGCAAGGTGGGGTCCTATCGTCCCTCCTATGGAATCTGATAGCACACGACCTAATCAAGAAATTCGAAAGAAAAGCACCAAAGATAACAGCTTATGCGGATGACATAAGCATAATTATCACGGGAGTCTGTCCATCGACCCTTCGCTCGATCATGGAAACAACGCTCAGGGAGATATGTGAGTGGGCGGAGAAGGTAGGACTCAATATCAATGCGGATAAGATTGACCTCATACTCTTCACCAAGAGACACAAGGCGCCGCAATGGATCCCCCGCTATATGCTCAGCAGCACATGGGCCTCTCAACCGCTCTAATGCATTGGGTCTACATATCGGTGGTGCGTCCGACTCTGCGGTATGGAGTGTTGTGTGGTGGCAAGCCATGGAGAAGAAAACGTATAATAAGCTTATGGAGAGAACCCAGCGGCAGGCACTGCTCTGCATATCAGGGGCGCTGATGTCAACCCCTACTAAAACACTCGAAACTATAATCGGTATATTTATTTTTATTTATTTAGTGTGCCTTATTGCCTTAAACTTTTAATTTCATTAAAGCTAATGTTACAACATTTTGTTTTTTCAGACTTTTAGCAATGCTTTTCAACTGTATTTTTTGTGTGTATGTACCTAGTACAATTTAGTAGATTTAATATTAATAACTTCAAGGAAAAAATACGTCATAAAACCTTGATTTGACACTTAGATGACTATCTTATAAAATAGCTTAACTAATTTGTCTAACATAAGTTAAGTTTAAGTTTATCTTGCAAGATATTGTTTTACAGTTTGAGCTTCAGTTAGGTGTATATAATCAGTGCTTGTGTAATATCCCTGCAGTACCACATTTCATCAATAGGCCTTTTCATCAACAATTCATCAACGCGCCGACTGCGACGTCGACAGAATCGACGCTCTGCCGACTGCTACTTGAACCCGAACTCCCTTCGGATACCCGAACTCCCTTCGAGTCCGATTTGTTGGTGCATGTCAAAAAAAAAACAAAAACAATTTGCATGGGCTTCGTTTATTGAAGTCCGAAACAAACTAAGAAACGCAACTGTCCGAAAATTAGAGAGAGATGGTGATAGAGCGAAAGAAGGGGGAAAGAAATGTTCGGTCTTCGGCTTTCGGTTTCGTCTTGCTTCTTCTTATTCCCTTTGCATTACAAGTTGAAGTGTTCTCCACTGCAGAAGTGTCGTGTGTTAAAAATATTAAGAAATCAAATAATTCAATAATTACGTTCCGGGCCATATTGAAATATAAAAAAAGGTGAGTAAAAAGATTGTTCTTAATTAAATAGAAGCCTATAAATGTACATATAATATTTTATTTATTATATGTATATAATATATTAATATATTATATTTATATATGTATGTATGTATTTTCTTTTCAGACTGCAGTAATGGCCAATATATTGGGTAATTTTATTTAATTAAATTATATATTTTCCCTTGATTAATTATAATTTTTTCTGTAGATGCAATTTCCCAAGTGACTAAAACTGAGCCTCCAGAGAAGATACTGCGCAATAAATTTGGTCTTCATGAATAAAAAGCGGAACACCAAGAATCAAAAAGACCTTCAGGCCTCTTAATATATGGATGCTTAATCTTAATTTTTTATATTTGTGTTTTAGTTTTGTTATAGAATTAGTTAGAATAAATAATATTAATAAAAATTTAAGAGTTTTATTTTTATATATGAAAAAAAAATCATCAACAATTCATCGATGAATTGATGATGAAAGGCTGATGAAATGTTGATGAATTGTTGATGATTCATCGATGAATTGTTGATTATTCATCAACAATTCATCAAGAATTCATCGATGAATCATCAACAATTCATCAACATTTCATCAGCCTTTCATCAGTAATTCATCAACAATTCATCGATGAATTGTTGATTAATTGTTGATGAATTGTTGTTGATGAATGCCTATGACATGCCCATGTTAAATTCATCAGTAATTTGTATGGCCATTCATCGATGAATCATCAACAACACCCCTTCGGCTATTGATGAAACGTTGATGAATTGTTGATGAATGGTACTGCAGGGATGGAAGACTAAGTAATAGTTTTAGAAGTTTGTTTTGACAAATTTGTATTTTTTTTAATATGTGTCTGCGCACAATTCCCCCAGATGGAGTATCCATACATAAGGGTAGGTCTAAATATTACCTAAAGATTATTAGTTTGTGTTTAATAGATAATTTTGGTTTTCTGTTAATTATAGGGTATAATATGCGAATGATTTTATTTATTTTGTCTATTATGTACCCAACATGGGTATTGAATATGAGTTTTTTTATCAAACTGTATGCTTAGATTTTTTATATTATTAACCCATTCAATTGGTGTGTCACACAGTTGTAGCCAATAATTTGGTATATAACAAGATTTTCTTCTTTTCGTAAAAAATATAGCTTTGGATTAATCTTAACCTTCCATTTTTGATAGTATTAGTATTAGTATTAGTATTTTGATAGTATATTCTAATTTATAAAAATAGCTTTGCATGCTGTATTTTATTCCATTGTATAAAATTACCAGCTGTATAGATAGATGTGTCATCAGCGAATAATGATAGATTAAAGTTTAAAGTATTAAATAATACTGGCCCTAACACCGATCCCTGGGGTACACCAGCTACTATAGAACGTTGGATAGATGGGTCACCGTTTAAGGATATGAAGAATCTTCTTTGTGTTATAAAGCTTTGAACTATTTTTATGAGGTATATGGGCATTTCTATATTTTTTAACTTGTGCACCAAGCCTTCGTGCCAGACTGTATCAAATGCAGCTTCAACATCTAAAGTCACTAGTCTTACGGATTGTTTATTTTCCATTTTCTTTTGTACAGTTTAGGTTGGCCCTGAAAGCCGAATTGTACTAGAGGTAATATTTCGTGTGTGTCTAAATGAGTAACTATTCTCGCTTTAATTATCTTTTCTAATATGTTGGATATGCCACATAATAAGCTACCTAACTATCAGGTTTAGTGGCAAGTTTGCCTGGTTTGGCAATTGGGATTACCTTGGCTGTCTTCCATGTAATTGAAAAGTAGCCAATGCGAAAACAATGGTTAAACATTTGTGTTAAGAAACTAATGTCCGGAACAGGGAGATTCTTTAAACAGATATTTGAAATACCGTCATATCCTGGAGATTTTCGAGTTTTAAGTGATTTGATAATGGTGACGATTTCAGAGTTTGTAGCTCTTGGTATTTGTGAGTTGTTTCTAATACTGTCACTAGCAACTAGATTTTCAGTTTCTATATTTGAATAAGATGTAGTTAGATTATGTTTCTGTTCAAAAATATCTGCAAGTACGTTTACTTTTTCAGTTCAAGTGTCATAGCTTGCGTCTGCAACATAGAGATAGGGTATAAATTGTTTTCTCTTTTTTAAATCTTTTGTTGTCTCCCAAAAAGGCTTACTATATTTTTCTAGCTTTTGTAGCTTATTGTTCCACTCTTCATTATTATAGATAAATCATTTTTTTCGAATAACAAAGTTTAAGTGTTCATACCTAGCTTTTACTAACGGCAGTCTTGACCTTATCCATTGTCTGTGAATAATGTTTCTTATTTTTAATAATTCGCATATATGTTGGGGTATCTTGTATTTTGGATATATTTTCTCTTATGGGGAACGGCGTCAAGAAAAGCTTCGTTGACTGTTTTTGTAAATGAGTTAACCAGGAAGTCAATTTCGGAGATCGAGGATAATGAATTTGAATTAATTATTTTTATACCAAGCAATCTATTACTAATAACATGCCTGAATGTAGTCCAGTTTCCTTTATGATAATTGGTTGGCAAATGATCAGAGGACAGCTCTTTTAAGACTGTTGGATTTGAAACCTGATTTGGAGATTTAGTAATGCAAATATCTATTGTGGATGCTTTTGTCTTGTGGCACCTTGGGATATTGTATGTGGGATAGTTGGGGAAGAGTACATTAAATCTAGTATTTCTTTAAGAATGTTGCTCCAGCAGTTAGCTCGAAAGCAGCTCTATGTCCTATGACATGAGTTATAGTAGCCACAGGCTATGAAATTCCCTGCAATCTGGATATTTTTAGTAAGTCTATATTGGTTTTTTGAGTGATTTCGGTCGCCAGATTCATTATATGTATTTGACAAACATTTTGCTGTGTAACCAGGAAAATATATGGAATATATTTTAAGGTTGTTATTATTAGAGTTTGTTTTGATCTTTACTCAATTAGATGTGTTTTATAGCCTTGCAGGGTATTATAATTTCAGTCAGAAGTTTGCAACGCACAGTGGTTGCGTCCATAGGCCAAAAATAAAAAAATCCACCTAAAAATATTAAGTCAAAATGTAAGCAAATCAGCTCTAAATTGTCCAAATTTTGCATTGGCAAACCAGTTTTTCCCGGAATTCTAACGGTACTTTCTAAAAATAGAATAGAATGCGTTAACACGTGTTCAATTTAACAGGACAGCGACGTTAAAGTGGTTTTGCGGCACATCAAATCTGCACTTTAAAGTTAACAAACGTACTCAAATTATCTCCGATTTCAATTATTTAAAAAGGATTTTAAAGTTGAAGGTATTTTCTTTAATAAGTTCTTTTACTAAAATTAATTTGATTTATTTAGTATTTGTTATTATTTTTTTTAATTAATACGAATTTTCAGTATATTGTGATCGTAATTTTGTCTGTTTAAGTAGTTTTTTAGATATGTTGCCCCCCGATCCCCCCTTTATAAGTGTTATCAGGGTATTTGTCAATGTTTTAAGGTAATAAAAATGTTAAGTCTAGCTGCATATATTTGCATATTTGCCTATAATCTTAAAAATACTCACACAGGTGAGGGTAAGGTTTCTAATATTTTTTTTTTAGTTTTTTTTTTTTTTATTTTAAACAAAGGTTTAATATCATAAAATTATTGACTGAAAGTTTCACATTGATTATTACAAAATTAACGAAGTTATGGGTAGTTGAACGGAGGTCGTTTGGTGTTTCTATTTTTTTAAACAAATTAACTTAATTTTTTAGTTAAAAAAAAAAAAAAAAAAAAAAATAATAATAACTAAAAATAATAATATATAATAAAATAAATAAATAATTAGTTCATACAATAACACAGGTACACAGCCAAAAATTTCCACGAACCATTTCAAGTTTTCCATGATATTTGGGTGCTCCTGAGTAAAAGTCCCATACAAAATTATTTCCCATCACCTACAGGTTCCGCGGTATACCTAAGAATACAAAAAACCGATGTTTGCCGACATTTTGAATTACGTGGTCTATATAATTGGACTTACCTTTATTATTTTCGGTAGGACCTACTCTCAATACATCACGGCACTACTAAAAAATAGTCCCAATCGTGGACCATTGCCCATGGCTTTGGAATTCGACGCCAAAGTTAAAACTCCCAAAATTTTCAACATTTCTGTGATGAAAAAACAATTCTGAGAATTAAATCTTATATGGAACTAATTTTAAATATTCATTGAACCTTTTGTTCATTGTATTCTTTAATTTCGGTTTAAACCGTTTTCATGAGGACATTTTATTGGATTTATTAAACGAATAAAACCGCTTTTTTGGTTTTATTATCTACTACTATTTTCTGTCAAAACTCAAATAAGTCAAGGCAGCCTATAGAATGCGAGTAAATATGTATCTTTTTATATATAATATAAGTTTAATTCTACTATGGTTCAAAGTAAATAAAAAAATTTCTTTCGCCTCGATACGTAGGCTGTTCAAAAAGTAGTGAGACTTCAAAGTTGGTGGTGGAAAATAAAGGTGTCGTCACGGCGGCCACGATTCCGGGTCTCCGGAGCGTTTCAAATGAAACAAGAAAGGAAGCTTACTTCGGCACGCCGAAGTTTGTATACCATTGCAGATATTATTTCATTACATTTTACCTATATTATTATGTTTACAGTTTGACAGTTACAGTTTTGCAGCTTTACATTTTCTCTACATCTACCGATCGTTTCTATGGCAGCTATATGATATAGTTGTCCGGTTTTTATGAAATTTATATCAATATTTTATAATAATAAAATAAGCTTATAGCCCGGAGTATATGAAAAATATGCAAAACAATGAAGTTATATTTTTTTTTCTATTAATTTTCCGATCGTTCCTATGGCAGCTATAAGATATAGTCGTCCGATTTTCAAAAAATTAAAACCGAAATTCTGAAATAAAACAAAATGGCCATATCTCAAAAATGATGCAGAAATGTTGAACAGCTATTTATAATTTTTTTTTCTAAAAATGTATCGAACATTTGTATGGCAGCTATATGATATAGTCGCCCGATCCGGCCCGTTCCGACATATATAGCAGTGAGAGTATATAGAAGACTACATGCTAAGTTTCATTCAGATAGATTTATAACTGAGGGACTAGATTCCGTAGAAACGCACAGACGGACGGAGGGACGGACGGACAGACGGACATGGCTAGATCGACTCGGTTGTTAAAGCTGATCAAGAATATATATATATATTTATAGGATCGGAAACGTCTCCTTCACTGCGTTGCAAACTTCTGACTGAAATTATAATACCCTGCAAGGGAATAAAAAAAAACGGGGTTATAATCAGTATAGATGTCATTCTCTGGTGACAGTCGAAAATAATTTTGTAATTTTATTTTAACAAAATAGCGGCCATTC